ATATTTTTTTTTTTTTCAAAAAGAGTTGAAAACACAGGGGAAAGTTGTTTCAGACTTTGTTCTACCTCAAAACTCAGGATAGCCTTCTCTGAGGACACACCCAGCCAGAGTCTGCCCATCAGCCTAGATTTCTGCAAGAACAATAGGCTCCTATTAGAACCATTTGTTCTACAAATATTGATTGAGCACCTATAATAATGAATAAGAAAGGCATGATCCTTGACTTCACAGAGCTTATATTTTGTCATCATGTTCAGGAATATCTGTAGGATTACCTTGTAGGGTAACTAAGTCTTCTTAAGGGGCTAAATACTCATTGGCAGCTTAAAGAGCAAACTTACAAGATACAGAGAGGGGCTCTGAGGTCAGCCTGACTTGGGTCCAAGTCATAGTAGATTTCACTATCTGAAAGCTGTTTAACCGTAGGCAAGTTTCCTTTTCTGATCTTTAATTTCTTTCCCCACAAATTGGAATGATAATACTTAACTCATAGAGCTAATACGAAGATAAAATGAGACATAATATATAAAATGTTATAGTCTAGTGCCAAATTAACAAATATTTGTATAAAATACATCATATTCCCTGTTTCATGGAAAATGATTTTTTTTAAACAAAACATATCTAGAAAAAAGGTCCAGTTTTCAAGGACTCAGAATAGTAATCAGAGGAAATGTCATGGTTATAGGAAATGTTTCCTATCTTTTATGTCCTTATCAAGGTTGTTATCTTCTTCAGATAGAAACTATCTGTTTTATCTTGGTACCCCCCAACCAATCTCAGTGCCTAGCATAGTGCCTAGGACTGCTAAGAATAGAGGATTTGTTTTATTCATTTCTGTACCCTCTGGGTCTCGTATACTGTCTAGAACATAGTATGCTTATCACATGCATTAAGTCCTTTAATCCTCACAACAGTTCTCTAAGGTAGTGCTATTATTATCCTTATTATTAAATGAGGAAACTGAGGCACGGGGAGATTAAGCCAACTGTCCAAAATTAGCAAGCTAATTAAGTGTTAGAGCTAGAATTTGAACCCAGGCAGTCTGGCTGTAGGCCTGCACTCTTAACACCTAACACAACCACATAGAAGGTGCCTATTAGAAATATTTGTTGAATACATACAATTGCAAGAAAATGTGAATTATAATCATGTAAAAGAAGGAGTCCATTATACATGTGTACCTTATACAAAAGACATGCTCCCCAAAATTGGATAAAGATTCTTTTTTAAATTTCATGCATTTTAACAGTATGCCAACACATTACTGTTTTAAAAGTTAACCCTCACTATGCATTAGGGGTTCCTGCTACACAAAGCAACTTGTGGTGACCCATTTTGTTATGTCAAGAACCTCTTTTGTCATGTCAATAATCACTTCCTAAACTGTCCGATTTATAAAAAGTAGTGTTTTCACATACTGGCCTCCCGCTAAAGCAGGAAGGGCTGGTAAATATCCTTTAGAAGATCCTATTCCAATCACCTATAACCCGCCCTTTCACCCCACCCCACCCCTCCAACCATAAGGCTAGAAAGACAGTTGGTGCCCTCTTCTGGGGGTTTGGGGCAGTAGCATACATTGGGCCCACCAGGGGGGCATTTCCAAGAAATAATCATGTCAGTTCTTTCAATTCTGGTGATAAGAATAGAGTTGATTTTTGGATCTTTTTATGAAATAAGAAATTGAATCTTTTCCTGAAAATAGGAAAGCTGACCTATTCAATCAGGTGAGTCTCCTGAAGCTCTGGTGGATAGAGAAATGGAATAAAAATTCAGCTGAACTTTAGAAGGATGCTGAGCAGACATTTCCTTTGGTCAGATACACTTTACATATACTTCAAAATCATAGGCTATTATTTTTTTAAAGATTTTATTTTTCATGAGAGACAGAGAGAGAGAAGCAGAGGGAGAAGCAGGCTCCCCGCCGAGCAGGGAGCCCGATGTGGGACTCGATCCCAGGACTCTGGGATCATGACCTGAGCCGAAGGCAGACGCTTAACAACTGAGCCACCCAGGTGCCCAATCATAGGCTATTATGATAAAATTTACCATTTATTTAGGATTATCTATGTGCTAGATACTTTCTATATATTGTCTCATTTAAATCTCACTACAGTCCTAGAAGGTAAAGAATATCTCCAATTTATGGTTAAGAAAGCTGAGATTTAGAGAGGTTAAGAAGCGGAAAAAAATTGTAGAACCAGAAATGCAAACCCAAATCATGTTCTTTTCAGTGTAATATGTTGTCTGTTTTTATTTCTTTTGGCCCTGTATCAATATTTCACTACTAAGAGATGTTAGAAAAATGTTCTTGACAGATGTAGTCCCAATGCAATACCACTGAAACATCAAAGAAAACTGTGCCCAAAACCCTTATATGGACCCTTTGCTAGTTGTCCTGACAACTTGTTTTATTTAGTTATGTTGGATAGAAAGATAGGAAGTTTAAAGTGGTAACGGACAGAGGTCAAGGGCCAAAGAGAATGTTGGGGAGGCAGAGAAGGGGGTAAGAGAGAAAGGAGTAGTAGTGTGGACATGGAGGACAGAGAGGCTTTTTGACTGCCTCTCCATTGCTCACAAAGCCAAAACTAGCTCATCAGGGTGAACCCAGCTTTCTGGAGAGCACAACTTGCATCAAATGTAACAATAATTAACCTCTGTCTAATACTTTGTGTCAGGCACTGTTCTAAGTGCCCTACATGTATTAACTCATTTAATCCTCAAAAAAATCTTATGATGCAAGTCTTTTGATTAATCTCATTTTACATATTAGAAAATTGAAGCAAAGAAGGGGCTATGGTTTCCATTTTACACACAAGGAAACTGAGACACAGAGTTGAGTAACTTGCCCAAGGTCAAGCTAATAAGTGGTGGAATTTAAACTTAGGATACTGGCTCCAGAGCCATGTTCTTACCCATCATGATATATTGCCCCTCCCAATTCATTGTAAGGATAAGAATTGTTTCAAGAAATGTTTACTTTGGGTATATATGAGTGTGTGAGTGTGCGCGCTAATATTTCTATTGGGTTGCAATGTAAAATGTATTCCTGTGAGTCACAGACAAAAATGTCTAAAACCTACTGCTCTAGCTATAGTATTGCTGAATTATACACCTTCATCTTCACTAGAGATAATGCTAAATTATTCTCTAAAACAATTTTACCAAATCACATTCCCACCAGCAGTGTAAGAGAGCTACCTGTGTTCTATATCCTCACCTGAACTTAATATTGTGTCAGGCTTTTAATATGCTGCCAATCCAAAGGGTATGAAATCATATCCCATGTGGTTTTAAATAGCATTTTTCTGATTTCTATTACATATTTTCATATATTTTGGCTGTTCAGATTTTGCCTACTATGAATCATCTGTTTATATCTTTTACTTGTGTATTATTGCATACAATACAAATGTATACAACATACAACAACAGCAACTCTTTGAAGGAGCCAGCAGTACAGAGGAAGAAACTCAGGCTGGCAGAAACCTTGCTTAAGGTCACTCAGCTAATGGGTTGTTGAGTTGGGATTTGAGTCCAGACCCAGAGGACCCGTTGGCCTATGCCTTTTGTTTTAAAATACATGCCAGGGACCAAGGCCATGTTAGTAAAAACGGAAGAAGGGAATAAATAATGTCAAGCATGTAACAATATGTTATGTGTCTAATTAGGTTTTGTGTAATTAACATAGCTTATTTCCTTGTATCCTCACAACTTGTGAGATAAAACATGTTATCTTCATTTTACTTCAGGGAAATGAAAGATTTGTGTTGGAGGTGTTAAATTATAGCTAAGAGGCAAAAATCACAATTCAGACACAGGTCTGTGTGATTCCAAAGTCCATGCTGGTTACACAATAGGGGTGCCTGTCCATAGATATTCTTGGTATGAGGTAAAGGCCTACAAACGTTTGCCTCATCATCTCCTAGAGCTATGTTTTGACCTCCTGCCTCACCTTCTCCTTAGAGCCCCAACGAACTACTTCTACTTGGAGATTGCCAGGACTACACCTACCAGTTTTTTTGTAGAATCCTGGTCTGGGGCAGCCTTAACTAACTGGTCCAGTCCACTGCCTTCCATTAACCATTCAAGTGAGATGAGCTCCCAGCCAACTTCTACAGATTCATCTTCCACTGTCTCCAGACTTCTCTGATGAAGCCCACTCAGGATCTTAACACCTTCCACAGTAAACCAGAAATTCTGAGTCAGAGCTGTCAAACTTGACTGCACATTAAAATCACCTGCAGAAGTTAAAAAAATCCTAATGCCCTAATAACAGCCCAGATCCATTACATCAGAATCTCTGAGGATGGTTCCCAGGCATCCGTAATAGTTAAGGCTCCCCAGATGATTCCAATGTATAGCCAAGATTGAGAACCACTGTTAAGGCATCTTCTTCAAGTTCCAATAGCCACACTCACAGTGGTTTCCACATTTTAGTGTTCATGGAAACTTCTTGGAGCATTTATTAAGATTCAGATTACTGGACCTCACCTCTAGAGATTCCATGTTTTGGTTTGGACCCAGGAGTCTGCATTTTTATCACCCAAGATAGTTTCACTGCAAGTCAATAGCAGATCACATTTTGGGAAATGCTGCTTTAGAGGAAAGTCTACATGGAAGTGGGATGGAAGCAAGAAGTCTCTGGCCCTTTAATGACTAATTAAGAAACTACCTTTAAAGCTGTGGAGCACAGCAAGCAAGGGCTGCTTTTTTTCATCCTAGTGGATAAGGTAAGGGAGCAGGTCCTGGAATGGACCTCTCCTTTAAGGTTACCTCAGTATCCGAGTAAGTGTTATCTTATCCCTGGCCCTGAAGAGCAGGAAGGATATGCCGTGTTGTCCTACCTGTTGTTTCTGTTTGTTTTGATGTGAAGAGGCCAAGTTAGAAGACCTCCTTTGGTCCAGAAGATTCTCCTAGAGGAATTGACATAGGACTTGCCTGCTTGCCTCTCATTTCTTCTTGCCCCATATTTTGTGGTTGTGGAGCAAGATGCAGTTACCTATGTGAAAGGAAAGGCTCAGAGTGACATCCTTTGAGCTTGGGCTGGAACATGTTGCTGAACACCACATCTTTCAAGATGGTCCTCCTCAGCATCCTTAGAATTCTTCTTTGGGGACTGTTGCTTTTTATGGAACACAGGGTCCAAATGACAGAGGTAGGGCAGCCCTCTATTGCCCTCATGGCTGATGCTCCTTCCTTGCCCCTGATTCAGGAGCTGCTAGAAGAAGCTCCTGGCAAGCAGCAGAGGAAGCCCCAGGTCCTAGGGCATCCTTTGCAGTACATGCTGGAGTTGTACCAGCGTTCAGCTGATGCACGTGGGCACCCTAGGGAGAACCGCACCATTGGGGCCACCATGGTGAGGCTGGTGAGACCCTTGTCCACCGTAGCAAGGCCTCTCAGAGGTGAGTTATCATACCATACCGTCCTGTAGGGAAGAGAAAGGGGATCTGTGAATTTATTGTCAGGCTTCATTGCCTAGTGTGTGAGTTGTTTTCTCAGGCTTGGATTTCAAAGGATGGAAAAGTTGGAAGAAGTTGGCTTCAAGCCTGCTTCCCTCTAGGGTCCCAATTTAAGAACAGATTTCCTTGGGGCCTACCTGAGGAATCTCTCCTAGACCTCAGGAAAATTGAATGATGTGTCAGCTCCTATCTTTCAAAGAAAGTCTTATTGCTTGTTATGTCACTGAAAACTATAATTGAGAAATATTCCTATGCATTCTTGTGGGGGGGCTCTTTATATGTGGTTGTATTCTTACAAGGCAAAGAGCATAGGATATTGAGTTGGGGAAATCTACAAGAATGGACAGAAACAAATTAATATCAGAAGATCTGTATACCTGGTTAGGTGAACATATAATCCTTAAGGACGACTACTACCATTAGCTGTCATGGAGCAATTAGCCTAATTTTTAAAGATAAGAAAACTAAAACACAGAAGTCAAATAACTTGCAAAGTTAACATAGTGGGTAGCAGAGATAGGATTTGAGGTTGTCTGCCTGATTCTGAAGTCTCCATAACCTCTCAAGTGTTTAGATATAGTACGTTGATATCCTTGTATACCAAGCAGTTTTTCTATTAAGTCTATGTTGTTAGTTTGGGTTTTTGGTACTAAAGGTATTTTGGAATTTTCTTTGTTCCCATGATGCTTGATTTTAAAAATATCTTCATTAGATCCTGATCCAGGAAACCAGTGGGCTTCTGAAGTGCAGGGCTTTCTAGGGAATGCAGAAAGTCATCAACTTCTAGGAAATCTTGGGAACCTGGTGAGATTAATTTTGGGCCTTTCCTAGTTTACATTCCCTCCTTTAAATGAAACAACCAGTGTTCTCCTAGCTAACCTTTATTGTGAGTTTACCATGTGCCAGGCATTGGACAAAACAAACATTATCTTCCTTAATCCTCACCACTAGCATATGAGGTAGGTACTATTAACATAATCATTTTATAGGTGAGGAAACTGAGGCTCAGTAACTTACTCAATGTAACACAGCTAGTAATTGGTAGAGCTGGGTGTCAAACCCAGGTTTTTGGGCTCCAGAGCTTGTGCTCTTAATCATTCTGCTGTGCCGACTCAACAGATTTTAATTGAGCACCAGGCACAGTGTTTGGGTTGGGTCTGAAGGGCAAATAACTGTTTCCCTGTCCTCTAGGAGCTCCCATTAAGGTAGAATGGACAGATAAGTAATCACAAAATGGTGTTAGAGCATGACCAATGCTTTGACAAGGATAAGCAGTAGGGCTCCCTGGACATGAAAGAAGAAGTAAGTCACTGCTTAAAGCCAGCAAAGGGAAGCAGGGAGACCATGAAAGACTTCACTGAAGAGCTACTATTTGAGCTGGACCCTGAGGAAGGAGTAAGGAAACTATGCACAGAGGCAGAGACATGCATTCTGACTGAGGAAAGGGAAAATCGCTTGGGGTGGGTGGAGATTCACTCAACAAATATTTAACACCTACTGAAGGCTAGGCACTGTTTTAGGTGCTGGCAAACAGATATGATCAAGACAGGCATGGTTTTCATGGGTGAGACAGATAAGTAAACACAGATAATTGCAAATTGTAAGTGCTATCAAAGAATGAAATAGGTTTTGATAGAGAATAACAAATCCTCCCTTTATATGGGATTGTCAGGGAATGCATCTTCGAAGAGGTGACATTTGAGCTGAGACCTGTAAGATAAGAAACTAAGCATGAGAAGAGTAGAGAGAAGCCTGATTTAGGCAGAGGGAACAATGTGTACAAAGGCCTGGAGGGTGGAAACAAGCTTGTCTGACTTAAAGATTAGAAGCAAGATCAGTGTGGCGGGACCGTATTGAGCATTGTGGAGAGTGGCAGGGAATGAGGCTGATGAGAGGCAGGAACTTATAGGCCATTGTAAGGAATCTGGATTTCATTCTGAGTGCAGCAGAAAGCTGTGCAAATAAAGTTTGTACAGATGATATGGAGCTAGAAAGGAGGGCACTATCTTGGTCTGACTGCGGGACATACTGGCATCTAGGGACTCTGGAAAGAATCCAGAAATGGATGACAAGAGCACAGGGACAGCTATCTCCATTAGGAGATGACCCAGCTGAATTGAACTTGCCTGGAGAGCTATGCCAGGTTCAATCACACAGGATGTGTGAGTCAGCCATTTCCCTGAAAAATTCTGAGCAGACCCTTCCTGGCTCTGATCCTTAGCCACTCCACCCTGCTTCAGGAAATATGTGATGTCAAGGTCTGAAAGGAAAGGGCAGTTCACCAGACAGCCTGCTAGAGATTGGGTTGGGCTCCTTCTCAGGCAGGGTGGGGCAGGTCTATGGGTGGGCCTCTTGAAAAGATGGTTATAAGATGGCAATGTAGAATAACTTGAGAAAGCAAATACAAGTCTGGCTTGGGCTTTGTGTGAATGATGTCCAGTGCCCCAAACTTGAGGGTGTACTGAGCATAAGTTGAAGCTGAACTATGAAAAAATATCCTGATGCTTCAAGACATGAAAGCACTTCTACATTGGCCCAGTCCAGGCCTACTGAAAAATCCAAACTTGTGGCTTCAGTGAAGGAGGAAGGTTAGGTAAATGATATGTAAATTAACATGCAAATGTTTAGCGAAAAGATGTTTGAAGATAAAAGGCATTTTCCTGCAATGCCTGGTTTTTGTAATCTTTGCTCTTGACCTTTTTTCCAGGAGGGGGTGCAGAAATTTAGAGCACTGCAGGCCCAGCCTTCCAACCCTTTGGCCACTGGGTGTCAGCATTTCAGTCTGGATTAAAACGCTTAATCGCCAAGAGGTTTTCAGCTTCTAGTAGAATTCTTAGCAAACAAAATATTTATCTGACCAAGGCCTTGTTGAAAATGGTATTTAGGGGAATGGTGGTACAATGAATGCAATATATGAAGAATCATTTCCAGTAAAGAATGAACAAAGAGAGACTGAGGGTTAAGGGGGAAAAGTTTTAAGAAGGAACAGCTGCTCAAGAAGCAATTAATGTAGAAGGTAGAAATGGCAAAACAGCTGCCCCCACTAGGGGTAAATAGAATTATTTTGTAGCATCTTGGCCCCAGATCTGAAGTGATGGCAGGCCATAGATAATCCCCAATATCGGACTGTTACCTCAAAGTTGCATCTGTATAATGATATGACAGGAGGACTCATTCTTAATTTATGCATGTCTCAATTCTCTTAATTGATCATTCTTAATAGTCAAATAATAAAGACTATCCTCTTCCATACACACAAAAGAATTCCATATTTGATGGGTTTTTTTTTTTTCCCATCTAGTGCTGAGTGATCTAAAAATGGAACACAATTTCTTTTTAAAGGAAACCTACTTGGGCTCAAATCTTGATTCTACCATGTGCTGGCTATATGTCCTCTGGCATAGCCTCCCTGAGCCTCAATTTCCTTGTCTGCAAAATGGTGATAATTACTATCTCATAAGGCTATTGCAGATTAAAGAGCTAATGCTTTAAAACATCTAATAGTAAATGCTCAACAGATGATAGTGATTATCATGATCTTTATTTTTAGGACTGCTTACAGCTGTTAGTTTGTATTGAGCAGATTTGTGAGGGAGATCCAGGCTAGCAGGTAAGAAGCTAATCCTCTGCTCTTGTCCCCTCTAATGCAGGCCCCTGGTGTATAAAGACCCTGGATTTTCCTCTGAGACCAAACCAAGTAGCATACCAACTAGTCAGAGCCATTGTGGTTTACCGCCATCAACTCCACCTAGCTCATTTCCATCTCTCCTGCCATGTGGAACCCTGGATCCAGAAAAGCCAAACCAACCACTTTCCTTCAGGAAGAGGTTCCTCAAAGCCTTCCTTGTTGTCCAAAGCTTGGACAGAGATGGATATCACACAACATGTTCGGCAAAGGCTCTGGAATCCCAAAGGACACAGGGTTTTACGACTCCGCTTCATGTGCCAGCAGCAAAAAGGTAGTGAGATTCTTGAATTTCAGTGGCATGGTACTTCATCCTTGGACACCGCCTTTTTGTTACTCTATGTCAATGACACTCATAAAAGTGTTCAGAAGGCCAAACTTCACCCCAGAGGCCTGGAGGAGTTCATGGGAAGGGACTCTTCTCTTCTCTTGCGGAGGACCCGGCAAGCAGGCCGTATCACATCTTGGGTCCCTGGCTTCTCCAAGGAACATGATGGGCCTAAAAGTAACCAGTGTTCCCTCCACCCTTTCCAGGTCAGCTTCCACCAGCTGGGCTGGGATCACTGGATTATTGCTCCCCACGTATATACCCCAAACTACTGTAAAGGAGCCTGCCCTCGGGTACTACACTATGGTCTCAATTCCCCCAATCACGCCATCATCCAGAACCTTGTCAATGAGCTGGTGGACCAGAGTGTCCCTCAGCCCTCCTGTGTTCCTTATAAGTATGTTCCCATTAGCATCCTTTTGGTTGAGGCAAATGGGAATATCTTGTACAAGGAGTATGAGGATATGATTGCCCAGTCCTGCACATGCCGGTGATAGCAAAGGTAAAGCTAGCTCAGGTGTTCCGAGAAATTGGAAAAGAGTTTAACATAACAAATATCAATGTTTAAAGCAGCAAGTGTTCTACCTGTGATCTTCTATCCATTCTGTGGGTTCCATTCTTTGCCATGTTACTTAAGTCTCTTCTCCCCATGTATGAGGTTCTCACTTTATACAAACAGTTCTGATACCAAGCAGTACATCTTGACCACTTGTCAGAGCCCTTAAAGATGTTCTTTTGGAAATACCCAGCTTTCTTGTCTTTTTTTTTTATAGTGACCTTGTCAAAAGTCACCAGTCCATGATGGTAGAACTTTCGCAATTGTCCTACCAAGGCCTGCAAAGGTGAAATCTTCCTAGTATCCATCATTTGAGGCTTTCTAGAAGACCTTGGGTTAAGAAAGCCACTTGAGATTTTACTCCTATGTTGCCTCCTATAGCCTCAAAACTAGTACCTAATCAGAAAGACTGCCTGCTTCTTTGCTTGCATTGCCCTCTGAATCTAAGCCTGACTTTTCTCAGATGGATTAAAAATGTTTAGGTAATAAACTCCATTAAAATCTTCGGAGGGAAACAGGAGTCTTTCTAAGATATCAGGGATTTTTCTCTCAGCCTCTGAATCTGGGGAAAGTATCTGGGATCCCTTCTCCGGGGTAAGGAGAACAGCCTTTAATAAGACTAATAGGAAAACTTGAATATGGAGCTGAGAGGATAATCACTTCAAAACCACCTGCATCTATGGTGTAGAGAGGGATTGCTGTCATTGCTGATTAGGATTATGTGTGGGGGAGTCATTTGGGGAACAATGGATTTCACAGGGCATTGTTTTATATAACACTTAAATCCTTGTTAATTATCACAAAGAAAGCTCTCTGGTCACTCAGAGGCTAGGAGTTGGCCTGGTTGGGGGTGGAGGAGTAGAAGACTGCAGCCAGGAAGCTTGAAGAGCTGTGGGGGAAGGGTGAGATGTTCTGAGGCCTGTGGCCAACTTCTTTTTGGGCTCGCCTGTTTGTGAGTTCAATCTGGCTCTGGGCTGGATCTCTGGGGGGAGATGGGCTTGCTGTTTGGGGAGTAATGAAGTACCGCTTAGACTGAATGATGTTTGCATTGTGACTCTTTTCTATTCCTATAACTGTGCTGAAGCGATGGAGACTGGGCTGTGTTACAAATAAATCATTTTTTGTTGTTGTTAAAGAGAATTTCGAATGTTTGGGGGATTGGGAGGGAGTGGGTGGAAGGAATTTATTTCCTTTGTTCCCTTTAACTGTGGTGGGGAGCTCAACCCTAATCTCCAAGGGTGGGGCTGCAGACTGCTACAAGGTTCTCTCCTAAGGCAGTACTGCTAGTGATCAGCCCTCCCCAAGGGGCCCCTTTGAGGAAGCCCAGTAAGTCATTTCTCCTGCCCAACTTTCCCTTGACTAGTCTTATGGCCATTCACAGTGGGACGGGACTGATTTAGGGTAGGTGTATGTATATGCCAATTGTAAATCCCTTCCCCACCACCACCATTTTTCTTACCTATCCATCAAATTCACTCACCTTACCGTCTCCCTTCTCAATAACTGGTTCCAGCTAGGCAAAACATCTTACACATCTATAAATATACAAATTTTATTCTTCCAGAGGAGCTGTGTTTTTAATATCCTTTCATCCATCTAATATCTTTAGGAGTCAGCTCAGACATTTGTTTCCTCAATGTCCCCATGACACCCCAGACTTGGGTAGATGCCCTACCTCTGTGCTCACATAGCACTATTTGCTTTCCTTTAACACATTCTAGTGTAACTTTGTTGCCAAAAGATGAGATCCTTTGGGGTTTTTCAACTGTTTTACCCATCTCCATATTACTGGAGCCTGGCACATAGTAGGTCCTCAATGAATACAAACATAAGACAGTGACACTTTGTGTGATGCATTCTTCCTAACATGAAACATTTTAGTATTCCCATTTCATTTATTTTCTATTGGAATAAATATAAGATATCTGTTGTATATAGATTTTTGTACTCCATTATTTCAAAACCACGATTCAAGTTGCGGTAGAATGTGACAGCTATGCTCTTGAATGAGGCAGTTTCAGAATCATTGTAATATGTGGCAAGTTGACATAGAAAAAATGTGGGCTTCCAGTCTAGATATTTCCCTCGCCTGCTTGGGGTAGACACAAATACTTGACAGGCCTGAAGACAGACAGACCTTTTTCACAGGACCAGATTCTGAATTGAGCATTTCAGTGTTCAGAATTTTCAGAAAATCATGGTCTCCTAGCTTTTGAGTCCTGAATACATCTGAAACTTAATACATCTGAAACTTAATCTTTTTATGAAAGGCTCAGGGTTAATTGGCCACATTATCCATTAAGCCTTGAGTTGTCAGAATACCTGAGGAAAATACTGGCAGGATGGAGTTATTTGTGGCTGATGTCATGGATTCGCTTTTCCTTTGAAAAACTGCTTTCAACTCAGCATTCTTCCCTCAAATCTGAAGTAAGATATATACACCTCAAACATTCTTTTGGAAGGAAGGAAATAACTTGCTAGTGGAGGAGGGTATGTGGGAATCTGTCTGCCCAGGTGGGTAGGGAGAAATTGTTACTTGGTGCAGAAAGGGAAAGCAGAGAGCAAAGTCCACCTTGTCCCGGCTTTCCCTGTGAATAGACCAGAACTTCATTCAATGTGTGGTTGCAAAACGAGCAGGCATTTAAGCTTGATTCTGATCCTGGAGGTCTGTTGCATTTACCTTGGTAGTATAGTATATCCATTCTGGACCAAGCTGGAAAGCACGTGAAATTTATCTTCAGTTCTACCAAATATTTGGGTACATTTCGTAAAAGGTTTTGTATCTTCAGTTAGTTCTCCCAACAGCACTATAAAACAGGAAGTATTTGCTCCATTTTTTAAAAAAAATAACTGTTTTGAGATATAATTTGCATACCATAAAAGCCACCATTTTAGTTTAATTCAGTGGGTTTTAGTATATTCAAAGTTGTGCAAAATTCACTACAATCATTTTTACCACAAAAAAAGCCCTTGCCCTGTAGCCATTAATCTCCATCCCTCTATGCCAACCCTAGGCCCTGGTAAGCACTGATCCACTTTATTTTCTATAGATTTTAGATATTTATATAAGTCAAATCATATAATATTTGGCTTTTTGTGACTGCTTCAATTTAGCATAATGCTTTCAAGGTTCATCTGTGTTGTTCATTCCTTTTTATTGCTGAATAAAATTCTATTGCAGAATATACCACATTTTCTTTATCCATTCATCAGTTGATAGGCACTTGAATTGTTTCTACTTTTTGGCTGTTATGAATAATGACGCTATCTTGTTGTGATGAGCACCAGGTGTTGTATGTAAGTGTTGAATCACTAAATTCTACACCTGAAACTAATATTATACTGTATGTTAACTAACTGGAATTAAAAACTTGGAAGAAAAACAGAAAAAGGAATAATGCTGTCATGAATGTTCCTGTGCAAGTTTTTGTGTGGACCTATATTTTCAACCCTCTTATGTATATAGCTAGGAGTAGTAATGCTGAATCCTATGGTAACTCTGTTTAAGATTTTGAGTAACTGCTGAACTATTTTCCAAATTGGCTGTATCATCTTACAATCCAGCAATGTATGCAGGTCTGAATTTCTCTACATCTTCACCAATACTTTTTATTGTCTTTTTTATTTTAGCCATGCTAGTGGAGGTGAAATGGTATTTCATTGTGGTTTTGGTTGCATTGATGAATAATGTTGAGAATCTTTTCATGTGCTTATTTGCAACTTGCATATCTTCTTTCAATAAATGTCCATTCAAGTCATTTGCTCAGTTTTTAATTGAGTTGTCTTATTGAGTTGTAAAAGGTTTTTAATATTCTAGATGTTAGTCCCTTATCAGATGTATGATTTACAAATATTTTCTCTAATTCTGTGGGTTTTCTTTTAACTTTTTTTTTTTTTTATTTGAGAGAGAGAGAATGAGAGATAGCATGAGAGGGAAGAGGGTCAGAGGGAGAAGCAGAGTCCCTGCCGAGCAGGGAGCCCGATGTGGGACTCGATCCCGGGACTCCAGGATCATGACCTGAGCCGAAGGCAGTTGCCTAACCAACTGAGCCACCCAGGCGCCCTCTTTTAACTTTCTTGATGGTGTCCTTTGAAACACAAAAGTTTTTAATTGGAAAATGAATCAACTATTTTCATCTTTTGTTGCTTGTGCTTCTGTTGTCATCTAAAAATATTGAATAATCAAGGTCATAAAGACAAACACTGATGTCTTTTTCTATGTGTGTGATAATTTTAGCTGTAACATTTAATCCATTTTAGTTAATTATGGATATGGTGTGAGGTAACAGTCTAAATTCATTCATTTGCTCGTGGATATCCAGTTGCTGCAGCATCATTTGTTGAAAAGACTAATCTTTCCCCCATTGAATTGTCTTGGGACTCTGGTTGAAAATGGACCATAAATATAAGGGTTTATTTCTAGACTCTCAATTTTGTTTCATTGATCCATGTCTATTCTTACAACAGGATATAACACTGTCTTGATAACTGTAGCTTTGTGTAAGTTTTGAAATTGGGAAATGTAAATCCTCCAAATGTTTTCTTCTTCACCAAGATTGTTTAGGCTATTCTGGGTCGCTTGTATTTCCATGTGAATTTTAGGATCAGCTTTTCAATTTCTGAAAAAAATACCAGCTTTTTTTTTTTTTTTTTGATTAGGGACTGCATTGAATCTGTAGATAAGTTTGGGTATTATTTCTATCTTAACATTATTACGTCTTCTGATCCATAAACATGGGATGTCTTTCCATTTATTTAGGCCTTCTTTAATTTTTTCAATAATGTTTTGTCATTTTTCAGTATATGCTTACACTTTAAGTTTATTCCTAGGTTTTTAATTCTTTTTGATGCTATTATAAAAGGAATTTTTCTAAATTTCATTATCAGACCATTAATTGTTAGTATTTAGAATTATAATAGTTTTTGTACATTCAACTTGTACCCTGCAACCTTGCAGAACTCCTTTATTAGCT